TATATACCTGCCATCTTAAAACAGGAGGGAGGGAGGGAGGGAGGAAGGAAGGAAAGAAGGAAAAGGGAGGGAGGGAGGAAGAAAAAGGGAGTGAGTGAGGGAGGAAGGAAGGAAGGAAAAGGGAGGGAGGGAGGGAGGAAAATGGAGGAAGGAAAGAAGGAAAAGGGAGGGAGGGAGGAAGAAAAAGGGAGGGAGGGAGGGAGGGAGGGAAGAAGGAAGGAAAAGGGAGGGAGGAAGGAAAATGGAAGGGAGGGAGGGAGGAAGGCAGGAAGGAAAAGGGAGGAAGGGAGGAAATTGGAAGGGTGGGAGGAAGGAAGGCAGGAAGGAAAAGGGAGGAAGGGAGGAAAATGGAAGGGAGGGAGGAAGGAAGGCAGGAAGGAAAAGGGAGGGAGGAAGGAAAAGGAAGGAAAATGGAGGGAGGAGTCTAAGTACTATTGCCCTTTCTCCCTTCCTTCCTCCCTTCCCTTCCCTTCCATTCCTTTCCATCCATCCTTTCATCCATCCATCCATCCACCCACCCACCCACCAACCCATCCTTTCATCCATCCATCCATCCATCCATTTCATCCATCCTTTCATCCATCCATCCTTTCATCCACCCATCCATCCACGCACCCATCCATCCATCATTTCATCCATCCTTTCATCCATCCATCCTTTCATCCATCCATCCATCCTTTCATCCATCCATCCATCCTTTCATCCATCCACCCACCCATCCACCCATCCTTTCATCCTTTCATCCATCCATCCTTTCATCCATCCTTTCATCCATCCTTTCATCCATCCTTTCATCCATCCATCCATCCATCCATCCATCCATCCATGACGCGCAGTAGTTAGAAGGCAATGCAGTATTGCAGGCTCATTCTGCCAACTGCCAGCAGTTCAATCCTCACTGGTTCAAGGTGGACTCAGCCTTCCATCCTTCTGAGGTGGGTAAAATGTGGACCCAGATTGTTGGGGGCAAGAGGCTGACTCTGTAAACTGCTTAGAGAGGGCTGTAAAGCATTGTGAAGCAGTATATAAGTCTAAGTGCTATTGCTATTTTCCTTCCTTCCTTCCTTCCTTCCTTCCTTCCTTCCTTCCCTTCCCTTCCCTTCCCTTTCCTTTCCTTTCCTTCCTCCCTCCCTCTCTTCCTTCCTGACTCTGCCGAATGTCAGCAGTTCAATCTTGACCAACTCAAGGTTGACTCAGCCTTCCATCCTTCCGAGGTGGGTAAAATGAGGAACCAGATTGTTGGGGGCCAGAGGCTGATTCTGTAAACTACTTAGACGGCTGTAAAAGAGCTGTGAAGCGGTATATAAATCTAAGTGCTATTGCTATAAGTCATTTTTTTTTTCAGTTCAAAGTTCACTGTAACTTTGAATGGCCACTAAAGAAATGGTTGCAAGTAGAGGACTACCTGTATTACGTTAATTGTATTATTTTATGTTACAAATCGTTCCATTGTATATCGGTCACTCTTTTTACACCAAGCGACTGACGGTTTGAAAATGTGTACCAGGCATTATGAGCTCACCTGGCACATAGCAGGCTATTAAGCCAATTCAGTAGTAATGTGAAGCAATTTAACCCAGTTAATAACATGCCAAGAATCCTCGCCCATTTGCCCTACAAGTGTTGTCGGGAAGAGCTCATCGCAGCCGCAGTGATCTATATACGCAACGTCCTGTTCAGAGTGGGTTTGCACAATACGTTCAACGCAACAAAAATAGCATCTCAATCTTGTGTGTTACGGAAGGCTAGCTACTGTCTTAACTACATTGTGGGAAGCAGCTACCTGTAAAGCTTAGATTGAATAATAAACCAAGGAAAAACGGGACAGGTACAGTTCTCGACTTACGTCGGTTCATTTAACGACCGTTCAAAGTTACGACGGCACTGAATAAAAAGGGAACGATGGCAAATTTTCACACTTACAACTGTTGCAAGCGTTGCCACAGTCACATGATGAAAATTGGGACGGTTGGCAACTGGTTCGTATTTATGACGGTTGCCAGGGTCACGTAATCCCCTTTTGCGACCTTCTGGCAAGCAAAGTCCACGGGGAAGCCAGACGCACTTAACAACGGTGTTACTAACTTAACAACTGCAGCGATTCACTTAACAACTCTGGCAAGATAGGTCGTAAAACAGTGCAAAACTCATTTAACAAATGTCTCGCTTAACAACAGAAATTCTGGGCTTATTTGTGGCTGTTAAGTCGAAGACAACCTGTAGTAAGGACGGTCAATTTGAGTAAAGAAGTCTTCAACTTAAAATTGTTTGTTTAGTGACCGTTCTAAGTTATAACGGCACTGAAAAAAACAAGAACTTACAACCAATCTTGCAATTACAATTGTCGCAGGATTCCCACAGTCACATGATCACAACCAGAATGTTTTTTCAATGGCTGCCGCATCCTGGGATCATGTTATCCCAGGAGTGAAATGCTCCCGGTTCGGACCGGATCGCCTGATCCGGTAGTGATGGCAGCGGGTGGTTCGGAGAACCGGTAACAAAAATCCCTGCCCCCTCCCCCCATATGCCTAGCTGAGCCACGCAATCATCAGAGGCTTTTTTTTTATTTTTAAAAGCATTTTTCTGCAACCTTTTCTACAACCTTTTTTGGCCGAAAAAATGCTTTTAAAAGTTTTTAAAAAAGCCTCTGATGATCGCACGGCTCATCCTCTTCCGCCAAAGGTTGTAGAAAAAATCCTTTTAAAAGGCTCTCACGATCCCAGCTGAGTTGCCTGATTGACAGAGGCTTTTTTTTTTCTTTTAAAAATTTTTTTTCTACAACCTCTCCCGCCGAAGAGGTTGTTTTAAACAATGCTTTTAAAAGCCTCTGCTGATCAGGCAACTCAGCTGGGATCGTCAGAGCCTTTTAAAAGCATTTTTTTACAACATTTTTTTTTGGGTAGAAAAAATGGTTTTAAAAGTTAAAAAAAAAGTTGGCCACGCCCACCGTCACATTAACCTCCCCAAGCCACGCCCACAGAACCGGTAGTAACAAATTTTACATTTCACCACTGCCTCATCCCCATTTGCAACCTTCTCAGCTGGTTTTCAATTTGGGGAAGCCGGATTCAATTAACAACCATGATGTGATTCACTTAATAACTAAAACGATCCACTTAACCACCATGGCAAAAAAAAAAAAAAAGTTGTAAAATTGCGTGTGACTCATTGAACAAGCACTTTGCTTAACGGTGAAAATCCTGATTCCAGTTGTGTAAATGGAAGACTAGCCTGGATATGAATGAGTAACCACGTTATATAAAATAAAAAAAAAACAAGCGAGTTAAAAGTTAACCTGCCTTTAGGTTCAGCCGGCTGTGTGAATTAAAACCCATACATTCAAGGTGGAAAAGTGAACGATAGCAACGGAAAGTTTGTCCCTGCTTCCAACCACTGCAGTTGTGAATCTTGGCACCACGCACAACAGGGTGGACTAGATTTCCTTCGCAACCCCTTCCAACCCTTACATTCTTTAGCGCTTAACATGCAGAAGAACGCATTTTTCTTTCTCTCTAGCATTTCTAGATTATGCAGAACTCGTCCAGGTCTTTTTAAAGCAACCTGCTGAGAGACCCAAAACTCGGTCCGTTTCGGAAACCGAGATCTCTTTCTAAGCAAATTCAAGAATTTGTCCCTCGTACCAGTAAGGCGATCAAGCCAAGGATAACCTCAGATTGAAAGACTACAGCGTCCCTAATTCCCAGCCATTTGGCCATCGTCCAAGGTGATGGGAGATGCAATCCAAACCAGCTGGAGGCCATCCAACTGTTCATCCCAGGTTAAGAGACGTGCCTGCACCCCAACTATTCTTCACATTGTCTTCAAAGCAACTTCAATGCCCCCTCTCCCCGAGTTCTTTAGGTCCCTCATGCCATGCGGACCCCAGAAAATGTCTTCTACCCACACATCCCTCAAGGCCCACCTAGACCTGGGAAGCTTCCCATTCTTCTCAAGCACAAAGCTTCCTGGGGGGGGGGGTGTCTCTGAGCCAACGCCTCCCACTCAATCCAACCTACACCCCAGGGTTGCTTCAATGAGTGGTCCTACTACCTCACATCTCCTCCCTCTGTCATAATTTTACTTCCTGACTGACACATTGGTCCCATCATTGTGCTATTGGTCCAATTTTCCAAACGTGGCTAGGAGGTAGGTTCCATCCCCTAGGCTCCTCTACCTTCACACACACCCCCACCAGCTGGGGATAATGGGACCTGAAGTCCCCCCCCCAGGTTCCTGCCTCTCACCCCCCCTCACATGCTGGGGATAATGGGAGTCTATCTCCCTAGGCTCCTCTACCTTCACGCCCCCCCCACCAGCTGGGGATGATGGGACTCAGAATCCATCTCCCTAGCCTCCTCTAAGTACACCTCCCCTCGCCAGCTGGGGATGATGGGCCCCGGAGTCCATCCCTTAGACTCCTCTACCTTCACACACACCCCACCACCTGTGGATAATGGGACCTGAAGTCCCCCCCCAGGTTCCTACCTCTCACCCCCCCTCACATGCTGGGGATAATGGGAGTCTATCTCCCTAGGCTCCTCTACCTTCACGCCCCCCCCACCAGCTGGGGATGATGGGACTCAGAATCCATCTCCCTAGCCTCCTCTAAGTACACCCCCCCTCGCCAGCTGGGGATGATGGGCCCCGGAGTCCATCCCTTAGACTCCTCTACCTTCACACACACCCCACCACCTGTGGATAATGGGACCTGAAGTCCCCCCCCAGGTTCCTACCTCTCACCCCCCCTCACATGCTGGGGATAATGGGAGTCTATCTCCCTAGGCTCCTCTACCTTCACGCCCCCCCCCACCAGCTGGGGATAATGGGACTCAGAATCCATCTCCCTAGGCTCCTGTAAATACACCCCCCCTTGCCAGCTGGGGATGATGGGACTCAGAATCCATCTCCCTAGGCTCCTCTAAGTACACCCCTCCCTCGCCAGCTGGGGATGATGGGCCCCGGAGTCCGCCCTCCTCCCCCCCACCCCGGGGGCTCACCCAGACGCAGAGGCCGTCGGAGAGCAGGTAGTAGGCGAGGTCCAGCGCGGCGGGGCCGTGGCCCGGCGGCAACGACAGCGGCGGAGGCGGCGGCGGCGGGGGAGGCTCGAGGGCCGCTTGTCCCCCTTCGGGCGGGCCGGGGCCGGGCTCGGGGGTCTCGGCCTGGCGGAGGGCGCTGTGGGCGCTGAGCAGGCAGCCCAGCAGGGCCAGGGCGCTGAGCGCCGCGTAGACGCGCAGGCTGGGCCAGGGGAAGCGCTCCAGGAAGAGCAGCGGCATGGCGGGGGGCTCGCTCGCTCCGAGGGTCCGCGCTCCGAGGGTCTCCCGGCAACCGCCGCTTCGCTCGCTCGCTCGCTCGCACCGGAGCAGGGCAGGGCAGGGCCGAGACGGGCTGCGCTGCCTGCCTGCCTAGCCGGGAAGGGGAGGTGGAGAAGGAGGAGGAGGAGGAGGAGCCGGGACGGCTTGGCTCCCCGCCCGCGGGGCCCTCTCGGCCGGGACCGGGCGGGCAAGGGGAGCCGCAGGACCGGACGACGCGGCGCTCGGCTCTCCCGGGCCGGGGGCGGGGCTGCGATGGGATAGTCGCCCCCACCCCTCTACTACTTCTCGCCGGGCCTTGCTACAATGTTGCCAAGGGAGCTGCTGCTGCTGCTGCGAAGGAGCTGCGACGCTACTTCTTTGGCGGCCGCGGAAGGGCTTCAGGGGGTGAAAGTGGACACGGGGGAGGCAAACCCCCCCCCCACCACCACCACCACCAAAGGGTGGGTAGAGTGGATAAATGGGGGGGTTGGGTTCTTTCAGACGTCAATGGGGGGGGGGGGGGGCCGGGGGGGGAGGGGGACGTGGAGGGGGCAAAATGGGCCGCCCTCCCTTGACCGTGGGTGTTGGTTCTTAAGAGTTGGAAGGGGTCATTTTGAGGTCTTCTAGTCCAGCCCCCTGCTCAAGCAGGAGAGGCTATATAGCAGGGGTCTCCAACCTTGGCCACTTTAAGCCTTGGCGGACTTCAACTCCCAGAATCCCCCAGCTGGCTATATACTATATACTATTTCAGATGAGTGCCCGTCTCTGGTCTCTTCTTTAAAAGTTCTCGGGAAGTGGAGAGCAAAGCTGGCTGGGGGATTCTGGGAGTTGAAGTCTGCCAAGGCTTAAAGTGCCCAAGGTTGGAGACCCCTGCTGTATACTATTTCAGATGAGTGCCGGTCTCTGGTCTCTTCTTTAAAAGTTCTCGGGAAGTGGAGGGGGTGGGGACACCCGAGTTATGGGCAGGGGTCTGGATAAGGGGGGAGGGGTTGCAGGGAGAAGAGATGCTTCCTCCTAACGTTATTTGGGAGGGTGAAAAATTACAGGTAGTCCTCGACTTACAGCCACAGTTGAGCCCAAATTTATGGTGTGCTAAGCAAGGTTAAGTGAATTTTGCCCCCATTTTAGCACCTTCCTTGCCGCTATTTTTCAGGGAATCGCTGCAGTTGTTAAATTAGTCATCTGGGTTGTTAAATGAATCGGGCTCCCCCCCCCTTTGACTTTGCTGGTCAGGTGGTCACAAAAAGAGATCACGTGACCCCGGGACACTGCGACCGTCGTAAATGGGAGTCAGTTGCGAAGCTTCTGTATTTGGATCACATGACTACAGGAGAAATGGCAACAGTTGTTACTGTGGAAAAATGGTCATAAGTCACTTTTTCCAGCGCTGTTGTAACTTTGAACAGTCACTAAATGAATGGTTGTAAGTCGAGGATTGCCTGTATGTGTTTTTTCTTCCTTATCCATTTTTCCCCTTTCTGAGCATCTTTTATTCTTTTTACTTATTTTCTTTGCTCTGGTTATTAAAAATCCCCATTAATTAAAAAAAAGGGGGGGGGGAAAGGGTGACAACAGCCCTCGAATAATTTAGAGAGATGTATGGGAGGGAGAATGCGGGGGCCAGAAAATGGGGATGAGCCTACCTAGCAAGATTGTTGTGGAATGATACAGTAGTACTGGACTGCCATTTGTCAGAATAGGTGTAGGGTCTCCTGCTGGGAGGGGGAGGGGTTGGACTAGATGACCTACAAGGTCCCTTTCAACTCTGTTAATCTGTTAGTAGAGCAAGGCTCCTCAAACTTAATGACTTTAAGACTTGGTCAATAAAGAATTCTATTCTATTCTTGTGGACTTCAACTCCCAGAATTCCCCAGCCCTGCAGTAGGAGGGGGGCGCTCTAAGGAGCTTTGAACGCCTGGAATATAAAAACATATATAACCAAAATGCTTTCCTCCCAGGCAGCTGAACCCTGCCTTAGAGTCACATCCTGTCTTGATGATTCATCCTTGTTTAAGCCCTACCAGATGTCGCACACTGCTCCGTGTGGCCTCTGGACTATGGTCCTTCACGTCACACAATATCTCAGCGTCAGGTGCCGCTTTGGGCCTGTAAAAATGTCAGCCTGCCCGGGCCTGATTGCTTTGAAGCGCTGTGAAATGAAGCACCTTTTACAGCAGCTGCAGACTGCCAGATATTTTTTGTTTTTTTTAAAGAGGACAACCTCCATCATTTCTGGCTAGAGACTGATATTTTAGGAACTGAATGTATTTTCATGTATATCTATATATCTACACATATCTTTATATCAATGTATCTCTATATCTCACTATATCACTATGTATATATCTGTATATTTATCTATTTCTATTATCTATATCATCTATCATCCATATTATCTATCCACCATTTATATCCCTCTGCCTTTCTTTCTATCATCTATATCGGGTGGGCAACTATGGCCCTTTTATGACTTGTGGACTTCAACTCCCAGAATTCCTGAGCCAGCCATGTTAGCTCAGAAATTCTGGGAATTGAAGTCCACAAGTCATAAAAGGGCCATAGTTGCCCACCTCTGATCTATATCATCTATCCATCTATATCTATCAGTTATCTATCTACCATCTATTATCTAACCATTCATCCTGTCTCTCTGCCTACCCTCTCCCTCCCTCCCTCCCTCCCTCTCTATCATCCATATCTATCTATCTTTCTATCTTTCTATCTATCTATCTATCTATCTATCTATCTATCTTTTCTATCTAATCTATCATCTATCCATCTATATCTATTTATCTATCAGCTATCTACCATCTATTATCTATCCATCCATCCATCCTGTCTGCCTGCACCTCCCTCCCTCCCTCCCTCTCCCCATCTATCTATCCCGTCTGTTGTAGGGGTCCAAGAGAATAGCCTTTTCTGCTGTGGCCCCCCAACTAGTGCTGAAATTCAAATTTTTTTACTCCCGGTTCTGTGGGTGTGGATTGGTGGGCATGGCAGCGGAAGGATATTGCAAAATCTCCATTCCCACCCCACCAGCCAGAGGTGGTATTTGCCAGTTCTCCGAACTACTCAAAATTTCCGCTACCGGTTCTCCAGAACCTGTCAGAACCGGCTGGATTTCACCCCTGCCCCCAACCTCTGGAATATTCTGCCATTGGAGGTGAGGATTAAAATAAATAAATAAATAAATAAATAAATAAATAAATAAATAAATAAATAAAGATGATAAACTGAATATTTTATATTCTCAATTTTAAAAAAAAAAATTTAAATTTCTGGGAAATTGTTTGCAATCTGGATCTTAACATGGGGAATGCAAAGGGTTTTTTTACATGTAGACTTACAGGAATAATGTAAGCCAGTTCTTCTGAGGGGGATGGCACCTTGAACAGCTGTGGAGAACAAATGTGGCTCAGAGTTGGGTTGTTGTCAGGTTGCTACCATATTTCTTAGTCTTGAAAGATGTGCAAAAAAATGGCATAGTCAGATAACACCAAGAAGCCCAATAATGCTACCCTTTTCAAATTAAGGCAGCCAATGCTGTTTTGCTATAGGTAAAGGTAAAAGTTTCCCGTCCACTCATGTCCGGCTCATCACCATTTCCTAACAGAGGAAGCCAGTGCTGTCTGAAAACACTTCCGTGGTCATGTGGCTGGCACGATTATACACCAAGCTACACGGAACGCTGTTACCTTCCCACCAAAGTGGTACCTGTTTATCTATTGGTGTTTTGCATGCCTTCGAACTGCTAGGTTGGAAGGAGCTGAGGCAAGGGACGGGAGCTCACCCCATCGTGCTGCACTCAGGTCTTGAACCTGGCTGTCAGATTTCCAACTGACTTAAGCTCAGCATTTTTAACCACTGAGCCATCATGCCCCTCTTCTTCCTAGAGTATTCCCGCAGGTGCAGGGTCTGCTTTTCGGATCCTTGAAAGCCACTTTGCCCGGTCAGTTGCATCTCCAGGGCGCAGGCCTGCGGCTTGCATATCTTTGCTGAAGGTGTCTTGCCATCTCTGTTTTGGGCGCCCGCAAGGTCGCCGGCCATTGACTTCTAGTCGATAGGCAGTCTTGGCCATGGTGGAAGGTGCTGCTCTCTGGATGTGTCCATACCAGCGGAGCCGGCCTTCTTTCATCTTCTCAATAATTGGTGCCATGCCAAAATGCTGTCGAATGGTGTCATTTGTGATGTGGTCAAGAAGGGAGATGCCCGATATCCAAACGAGCATTCGCATTTCCATGGCATGGGGAGAGCTTTTGGTCCCTGTTGTTGCTGCCCAGCATTCACATTGGCCAATGTGCAACAGGGTAGATGGTTGTCTTGTAAATCTTAAGATTTATGATAGGTTGACATCATGGCCCCCTGTGGTTCTACTAAATAGGACCTATGACAATTTGCCTCCTGAAGACTTTAAGGGAATATTCTTCAAAGTTATACCAATTTTCTTTATTTGATGGAAAGTTTTTGTAGATGGAAAGATTATTAGCAAAGCGATTGAATTTATTTGCAGTCTTTCCAGGGAGAAGAGTTGGGGGGGTGCAAAACACGAAACCTTACATGCGTGACCAGTTTCCTCATACAAATCTACCGTATTTTTCAGAGTATAAGACGCACCAGAGGGAATGGAGGAGATTATCCTGGAAAACAGCTTTAAAAAAAAATGCTGTGAACCAGCCAAACAATAGATTTAGGAGTGGTGGAGAATATGCTGGTAATCAGCGGGAGGAATGGAGGAGATTATGCTGGAAAACAGCCAAAATAAAAATGCTATGAATCAGCCAAACAATAGATTTAGGAGTGGAGGAGAATATGCTGGAAAACAGCCTAAAGATAAAAATGTTGGAAATCAGTTGGGGTGAAAAAGAAGATGATGGATGATAATTAAACAATGTGAAATGATTTTGAAATGATTTTATGTAAAATGAGAAGTGTAATTGATGATAAGCCTAAGAAAATTAGATGTAAATCAATAGAGGTTAAGATAGAGATTTGATGAAATGGGTTTTGAGATTAATGAATATATATGGAATTTTGATTTATAAAGATATAAAAATTAGAATTGTGTTTATTTGGAAACTAAATATTGCATATAAAAAGGAGCTGTGTTTATTTGGAAATTAAGATTTATGGTGATACAATAGGATGCTAAATGTTTAGATTAAGATGTTAGAATTTGTGATAAAAATTTGTGGTTTGACTTTTATTTTAAAAGATGTAAACGGATGAAACTTGGAATCCAGCTTGTTAAAGAAGTGTGAGCAATTGTACCTATTCATGACCGGACCAAACCTTCGCTCTCAAAAGATGTATTTTATGTTTAAGATGTTTAAAAAATAAATAAAAAATATTTTTCAAAAAAAAAAAGACGCACCAGAGTATAAGACGCAGCTTAGTTTTTGGGAGGAAAATAGGGGGGGAAAAATCTACCTACCATGTATTCATCTGGTTAGCATCCTTAAGTCTGGTCAGCTTCAGCACATTAGTTTGCTGGGTTTTATCCCCTGCTTGGGGACAAAAAACAGATTCCAAAGCACAACTGATCTTTGGAGAGAGAAGCAATGAGAAAAGCAGGCAAACCACAGAGATCGCTTCCCTCGCTAGTGCCTCCTTGGGGCTGAAAAAAAACTTCACAGCTGAGAGTCGGAGGGAGGTGGCAATGCAGGATAGCTTCATTTGCTAGTGCCTCGTTAGGGCTGAAAAAAAGCTTTGAAAAAGCTACATTCGGAGTATAAGACGAACCCAAATTTTCAGCCTCTTTTAGGAGGGAAAAAACTGCGTCTTATACTCTGAAAAATACGGTGTATGTATGTATGTATGTATGTATGTATGTATGTATGTATGTATGTGTGTGTGTGTGTGTATATATATATATATATATATATATATATATATATATATATATACACACATACATATATATATATACACATACATATATATACACACACACACACACACACACATATATATACAGGTAGTCCTCAACTTACAACAGTCTTAGTGACCATTCAAAGTTACAATGGCATTGAAAAAAGTGACTTCGGCGTTTTTCACACCTACTGTATGACTACTGAGCATCCCCATGGTCATGGGATTTACGTTTGGATGCCTGACAACTGACTCACATTTATGACGGCTGCAGTGTCCTGGAATCATGTGATCCCTTTTTGCCACTTTCTGAGAAGCCAAGTCAATGGGGAAGCCAAATTCGTTTAACAACCGTGAATCAACTGTGGTGATTCGCTTAACAAATGTGGCAAGAAAAGTCATAAAATGGGGCAAAACTCACTTAACCAATTTCTTACTTAGCAACATAAATTTTGGGCTCGACTGCAGTCGTAAGCTGAGGACTGCCTGTAGTAGCATAGTAATAAACCAAAGTACAATTTAAACAAGAAAGGGAATCCCCATTATTCAGACATACCATATTTTTCGGACTATAAGACGCACCGGAGTATAGTTTTTGGGGAGGAAAGTAAGAAAAAAGCTGATTGGCGGGTGGATCAGCCTTCTGGAATACCCCCAATCAGCTGTTTCCAGAGGTGAATTTTAGCAACAGGTTCCTTGGTTGTGAGCTCTGTGCCTTGCTTTTTTTTCTGCCTCTGAAACCTCTGTTTGAGGCTTTTTTTCCCAGCCTCTCAAATGGAGGTTTCAGAGGCTGGACTGGGCTACATTCGGACTATAAGACGCACCCAGATTTTCACCCTCTTTTTGGGGGTAAAAAGGTGCGTCTTATACTCCGAAAAATACGGTACTTATTTTGACAGTAAAATAGAAGCCTTAAAATAACAAAATTGCACGGCCCCGGGTAAACAAACTGGCTAAGCTACTCGTCAACATGGAGTACAAATATTAAATGTGAAAATTACTTGTCTGCAATGCAGCAACAATATGCGAGCCAGAAATCAGCATTTTTGCACAGAAGCCTGTAGAAATGAATTTGCTGGCCTCAGCTGATAAGAGGCATGACACAATTTGAAACTCAGCGGTGACTCCTCAGTATGAGTAATCCTGTATATTTAGTTCACTTCTTTAGCTGTGGTCTTCCATTCTATGAAAGGTAGAGAAAAAAATGGCACGGCAAGAGCTGAGTAAATTAGATGCAATGGGACACCCCTTCCTTTCTCCCTCCCTTCCCTTTTTTCTTCCTTCCTTCCTTCCTTCCTTCCTTCCTTCCTTCCTTCCCTCCCTCCCTCCCTCCCTCCCTCCCTCCCTCCCTCCGTCCCTTGAATGTCACATCTTACTGATAAGGTGACTCTGGGCGGCTTAGAAATGTAACTTTATTTAACTTTTATTGAAGTTTAAAAAGTTGCCAAAGCAATTGAAATTACAACCCTCGCCTTCCTCCCTCCCTCCTTCCTTTTTGTCTCCTGGACTAGTCCCTGCAGTTTTTATGGCAATTTTTTTTCAGAAGTGGTTTGCCATTGCCTCCTTCCTAAGGCTGACAAGAGTGAGACTGGCCCAAGATCATTCAGCTGGGCCAAAGGCAGGACTAGAACTCACAGGCTCCTGGTTTCTACCCTGATGCCTTAACCACTAAACCAAACCAACTGGTATCTTTCCCACCTTTTTGCCACCTTTTCCAGACAAAAACTACAGAAGCCAATCTGCTGATGAAAAACTACCTCAAATTTCAGCCATGCAATTTTTCAGAAATCCTCAAGTGATACCCACTTATTACCGGCTCTCAACTTTTTTTTTAATTTCCCAAGATATGGTTAAAACACTGAAGACTACTTCCATTAATCCCCACCCACCCCAGAATACTATGGTGCCAATCAGCCAATGGATTAGAAATCTCTCTTACAAGTATTGAAAAAAAGCCACACATGAATGCACAGCTGAGTCCATTTTTGTTTAATGTTATTTTAAAAAAAAAATCAGGTGACTATCACAACGTAAGTGATTAAAATGCAAATTACAGTTCTTATTCCATTGTCTAAACAGTCAAGATTCTCTTTCCTATTCAGATAGTAGAAAGTTGGGGAAGGGGGAAACTCAAAGGAGAAAAAGAGACATAAAAAAAATCCTTGCGTCACATTTTCTCTTCTACAATTTTAAAGCTGTTCTCACAGAGACGGCTTCTACTCACACTTCAGGAAATTCAGTTGTAAATAAAATTGAACCTGCCAAAGAGGGTGGAAAGAAGAAGATGATAAACTGAATTATCTTATATTCTCCATTAAAATTTGTCTTTTTTTAAAAAAAAATTCCTGGGAAATTGTTCGCATGTTGGCTATCTCTCTGTGCACCTCAAAAAACCCTGAAGCACAATTTACGCGATGTACTTGGTTCATAGCAATTGGGACTTTTGTCTTATCTCGTACTGAGGAGACAGGCAGCCCTTCGTTGGCATTTCTGCTCCCTCGAGCCCTGCAAGACTGAATTTTCAAAAGCTGCAAGCAAATGGCCAATTTTGGATGGCAAGACTTTTTACTGGTTCAGCTCTCCAGCATTATTGCTACATTTGCAGCTCCTCTTGGGTTTGTTTCGTTAATGAGAACTTCTGAAAAATTTCAGCGTCTCAAGACTTCAAAACTCAGTGGAGGGAGATGAAGGATCGACCATCTGCATAACGCAAATATAAATCCATGCTTTTATCAAGCCAAACAGCTAGAAATGGCTGGTTAACCTCCTAGCCTTTGAATTTTAACCTGGTTTATTTTTATTTGTAAATTTTAACTTGTTTTAACTTTGTTTTTCAGCTCTGCTTTTATTTGGGTATTTATATGGATTTTATTATGCTGGATGCTGCTGTGCAATTGTCACTAAGCCACTCAGGTGCGATCAGCGGTGTAGAAATGTAATAAATAGTGTTAAGAGCAGAATTCCAGAACCTCAGACTGAATCCGCAACATCATCATCCAAGAGTGATGCTGCCTAAGACATATAGAATATATATCACTAGTGATAAGATATAGCAATAGCACTTAGACTTATATACCACTTTACAGTCCTCTCTAAGCGGTTTACAGAGTCAGCATATTGCCCCCAACAATTTGGGTCCTCATTTTACCCACCTCAGAAGGATGGAAGGCTGAGACAATAGCAATAGCACTTGGACTTATATACCGCTTTACAGTGCTTTACAGCCCTCTCTAAGCGGTTTACAGAGTCAGTATATTTCCCCCAACAATCTGGGTCCTCATTTTACTGACCTCAGAAGAGTCAACCTTGAGCTGGTGAGGATTGAACTCCTGACAGTGGGCAGAGTCAGCCTGCAATACTGCAGTCTAACCACTGCACATAATGGATGGATGATGGAAGGGCAATAGCGCTTAAACTTATATACCGCTTTACAGCCCTCTCTAAGCAGTTTACAGAGTCAGCATATTGCCCCCAACAATCTAGGGTCCTCATTTTACGCACCTTGGAAGGACAGAAGGCTGAGTCAACCTTGAGCCTAATGGGATCTGAACTGTCGAATTACAGGCAGCCAGCAGTCAACAGAAGTAGCCTGCAGTACTGCACTCTAACCACTGCGCTGAGGCTCATAGTCAGAGAAGAAAATTTCTGCTCCTCTGCTCCACAAAATTCCTTTTATTTTCCTCACAATCTCAAACCAAATAGTTGCACAGAAAGAGAAGGAATAAACTTTCCTTCTTGAGTTAACTTGGTCCAAGCTCTCCTTTAAGAGGATCAGCCAACCCCTCCCCTAGAATTAAAAGATGGGGGTTCAAGAAAGCTTCTCCGTTACCCACGAAACACGCAGAGCTGCAAGCGTACTCTTACCTGCTCAAAAGTTGCGGGAGGCTGGAAATGATAGGACCGTAGCCCGGCGCGTTGTCGTAAAGCTCAAATAAAGGAGCAGCTACTAGCTTGTAGTTTTTGGGGACTGCAAACAAAGCTGGAACAAATTCAAGGGAAGAAGCAACTTAAGTTTCTCCTTCATCTGATTCGCAGCACAAGCAGAATAAAAATCAATTGCCTTCTGCTATACCTGTCACCACCGGTAAACAGATCAGAAAATATGATTTAAAAGGGTTTGTATTGTATTTAAAAGGCGTTGTATTCACTGCAAAATGTTTAGAAAAATGTGCATTCAGACATTAACACGGCCTGGATTGGTCTTCGGAAAAGTTAAGCAAGTTAGCTTAAATGCTAAGTTCCAAAAGGACCACGTAGACATGTAGCTAAATATACTTCTTGGAGCAATGCACATAGTCCTCGACTTACAACAGTTCACTTAGTGACCATTCAAAGTTACACCAGCACTGAAATAAGTGACTCATGACCGTTTTTCACACCACCATTGAAGCCTCCCCGTGGTCACGTGATCAAAATTCGGATGCAAAAACTGACTCATGTTTATGACGGTTAGTGTTCTGGGGTCATCTAATCCCCTTCTGCGACCTTCTAAC